TCTGGTCATTGTGGTTCTGAAAACATCTGGACCAGTAAATAAACAGATTTCTTTGGGTCTTGGTGGGGTTTTACTGAAAGCTTCATTCCCTTATCAAAGGGGGAGACAGGAAGGGGCAAACATGCCTGTTTAAGTGACTCCCAGCAAGCAGGAAGTGGCATTTAGAGCTGCACCACATCTTTCCCATTCCTTACTGCGCAGTGTGGGCCTGGGGACACCTGGTGCTGACAGCAAAGCAGAGCAAATCCAGACAAGTGACTCTCCATTGAGTACCTGCCTCTACACCTCTGCAACAGTTACGCCCTGCCTGCCTGAAATTTAAAATCCAGGGATTCTTAGGCCGAGTTGTGGTGCTGGTACTCCACTAGCAATTGATCTTTACTGCAGGTGATGCTGGAAGATGGACGGAGCAAAGGGTTTGGCTTTGTCTGCTTTTCCTCTCCAGAGGAAGCCACGAAAGCTGTGACAGAGATGAACGGGCGGATTGTGGGCTCCAAGCCATTGTATGTGGCACTGGCACAGAGGAAAGAGGAGAGGAAGGCCCATCTCACGAACCAGTACATGCAGCGCATCGCTGGGATGAGAGCCTTGCCTGCCAACACAATCATTAACCAGTTCCAGCCTGCTGCTGGGGGGTATTTCATGCCTGCTGTGCCCCAGGTGAGCTGAGCCAGTGTGGGTTCTTTGACCTGTCTGAGAGGTTTGTTGGTTCAGCGGCAATAATCTCATTGAGCCTTTCTTATGCCTGTAAGCAAATAACTCCTAATGAGGGGTGCAGTCAGTGGGGTTAATTCTGTGACTTGCCAGCTGCCTGTTCTCTTAATCTGACCTGAGTGTTGAGTCCTGGCAACCAGTGCCAAAACATGTTGTAAACAATGTTTGTGATTCACTTAGATGCTGCCTCTGACCTTGCCTGATCTGTTTTCAGGCTCAGAGCAGACCCACTTACTATGCACCCAACCAAATGACCCAGATGAGACCCAACCCACGCTGGCAGCAAGGAGGAAGACCTCAAGGTGAGCATGCCAGAAGCTGTTTTGGTTGTATGACCCTTTGGTGGCTGTACTTCCCAACAGGAACAATCCATGCCTTCCTTTCCATGCACAACCCCTGCAAGCTGGCTGTTCTGGCTTGCCAGTTGGTTCTGTTCTGAGGATTTTCCCCCCCCTGTATCTTCCATCAGGCTTCCAGGGAATGCCAAATGCCATGCGCCAGTCGGGACCCCGGCCAGCCCTGCGCCATCTGGCCCCTGCCAATGCTCCCGCCTCCCGTGGCCTCCCAGCTGCTGCCCAGCGAGTTGGTAAGGGATCTGCTCCCAGGCCATTCCCCTTGGCCTGGAGGGAAGGAGGAGAGTGCTGTGGAGACTTGACTTCCACTTCCAAAGATGGTTGTCAGATATGGGACAACCAAAGATCACCGGGAGCAAGGGGCAGAGCCAGCACCCGACTCTTTCCTGTTCCTGGCTGTGCAGTGCAGGTCTGGGGACAGTTGGTGCTACAGCACAGCAGTGGAAATCCAGATGGGTTGTTTTCCACTGGTTTGGGACTCATCTCTACACCTCTGCAACACTTAACCGCTCAAAAAACCTGGATTAGTCCTAGGGAGAATAGCCCACTAATAAAAGAGCAAGTTACACTCAGGTGTCCTAAGGATTATTACTGTGCAGAGCATGGCTTGAATTCAGCAGTTAATACCGACCTTGCAGGTTGCTGCAGGTGTTTGTCACTCTGTCCTCCTTCCTTTGCAGGTGTTGGCACAGCAGCACAGAATTTGGCTCCCCGTCCACCCGTAGCTGCCCCTGCTCCCAGAGCTGTCCCTCCTTACAAATATGCCTCAAGTGTTCGCAGCCCACACCCAGGTGTCCAACCTCTGCAGGTAACCCCAGGGAATGGGCTGGGAAGTCCCTGCAGTTACTTCAGGCAGCAGGTTTCACATGCAACTAAAGAGTTCTTATAGAAACTTCAAGCCACTTTTATAACCCAGACAGGCATAATTTGGAATTTAAAAACCTGGCAGTTGTGCCTTTGCCAGGGGCACGCTGATTGGCTTTATCTGTCTTGTACTCCCAAGCCCTTTTGTACCCAGATTTGCTGTGAGGATTTTTTTTTTTTTTGCTTCTTCGTCCCCGTTTTGCAACCGTTTATTCTTTCTCCTCTCTGCCAAGTCCTCACCAGAGTATCATTGAAAGCACAGTTTGCTTTTCCCACAAACCTCTGCTCTGTGAAAAGGGCAGGTGTGGGTGTTGCTCTTTCTCAATGTCTCACCATGTTTGATCCTGTTTTTGTAAGATTTACAGTGCCCGTGTGTGACATTATGGGCTTTTGAACCCAGGACTTGCAGGGAGCATGTCTGTGAACCGAGGGCACTTTACCTGTCCTCTAGAAGTTAAGTGTGCTGTAGGATTGAAAAAAATGGTGTTTTAGGAGGGAATACCTGAGTATTGTCTCAATATGAAGGAATCAGCCTATTGCCTGTTTCAGAACCCTGATGTCTGTCCTTTACAGGCACCTCAGCCCGCAGTACATGTGCAGGGCCAGGAGCCACTGACAGCCTCCATGCTGGCTGCTGCCCCTCCCCAGGAGCAGAAACAGATGCTGGGTGAGTGAAACTCCAGCGCTCCCAGATGACTTCCCATCCAAAAATCCCCTCAGATCTCAAAAATAACCCCTTAATCAAAACTCCTCTGAACTCCTGTTCCCCTCAGGAGAACGTTTGTTCCCTCTGATCCAAGCTATGCACCCCAGCCTCGCTGGGAAGATCACAGGAATGCTGCTAGAGATTGACAACTCCGAGCTGCTGCACATGCTGGAGTCTCCAGAGTCGCTCCGGTCAAAGGTAAATGGGGGTGTTCCCTTTGCTGGGGTGGCTCTGGGGGGACTTGGAGGGAGAAGGTCTCACTGGGTTTGTCTCCCCGAGGTGGAGGAGGCCGTGGCCGTGTTGCAGGCTCACCAAGCCAAGAAAGAAGCTGCCCAGAAGGTGGGTGTGGTTGCTGCTACCTCTTGAACCAGGATGACTGGTGAGTGTCTCGGTCCTCAGCTTCACTTAGAAGCTTCCGGAATCGGTAAATAAGGCATGATTGTTAGTGACCAGTCTGGTCTGGAGGCCCCATGCAGGGCCATGTCCAGCACTTGCCTGATTTTAGTCCACTCTTTATAAACAAACAAAAAACTCCTAATGTAGTTTCTCCCTACAGAATCCTTATGTAAAACTTAAAATGTTCTTCACATACCTTATTTTAATGAAGCATCAGAAAGGTGCTTTATAAGACCCTGAAGTGTTCCTTGCAGCTGAAATTTCATGAAGGACTAAAACCTTGGGATGAGTCCTGTGGAACTGCTAATCTGGGAAATGGGAGAGACACAAGGTGCTCTAGTGACTTTGAGGCTAAACGGGCTGTTGATGCCCATTCCTTATCCTGAAAACCATCTGCCTTCAGTATCTGTTATAAAGTGCTGGTGTCGGGAATGTCATTTCACTGCACAGGTTTGTTCACACAAATGGTGTCCCCTGTATTTGGAGCCAGCTCTCATTTAACTTCTGAATAAGGTTTTTGATTCTTCGAATGCCTGCTCTTGCTTTTGATGATCCATTTCCCTGTGGATTGTGTGGAATTGACACCTCCAGTACTTTTTGTGATGCTGTTGTAATCACATGTCAGAAGTCAAGCTGGTGAAGAGTGATCAGGATTCTTATTTTCATCCATACATTTCTCAGTGGCTCCGGTCACTGGCTGATTTAGTGAAGAGCTTGAGTTTCCTGTGGAGAATAACAATTTCTGATTGTCTGAAAAGCGTGAACAGTTTCTCTGTACCTTCCAAATTTTATTGCAGTCCTTATGGTTTGTAGTTCTGGAACGTTCCCTAGCCTGGAGCAGGGATGCTGTTTGTGAGTAACTTGTCTCCCCTTTTCCCTCTAGGATACAAAGAAGCCAAATAGCCCCTTCCTAGACATCAGCTCAAGATGTTTGAAGATCCTTCACTGTCCTGCAGATCTCAATGCCATGCATCATAGTTATATTGCATTTTGTAAATTAATCTTCAAGATCTTATTTAAATAAAGCCATCTCTGAAGCTCGAGGTTTCCAAAACCAGAATGGGGGTTGCAAGCTTTTCCTTTGTCAGAATAGAGCTACCCCTTGTGTCTTCTGAGGAGGACGTTGAGGATTTTAGGCTGGAAGTATTTTTGTGGGTTTGTGTTTAATTGAACAATCCAGTTTGGAAAGTTTGGGAAACATTTATCAATAAAGGAATAAACTTGCACTGTGCTTGTTGCCTGTCATTTCGCTCTGTTTGATAAATAAACGTGGTATGGTTTTGTGAAGTTAAACTGATGGGCAGCTGTCAGGTGGGGAATATATTAAACTGGGGTTTGAGTTATTGTGCCTGTTAATTTTGGATGACAAGTGTTTTGAGGCAGCTGTGTTAAAATTACGCCTTGGGCAACGTATGAAAGGGTGATGTCTGTAAGCAGTGATCTAAGAGAAGGCTTTGGGAGGTGTTTTCACAGGAAGAGTACAATGGTTTGGACTTCCTTTTTTGCTGTCTGCTCTTAAGGAAAAGCTCTGCTGTTCTTTATTTAGATCTCCAAATTTTCAGCTGGGTGTTCAATGGTTCTGGTGCTACTTTATACACTAAAGGTGGCTGCATTTTGGCGCTGGGGCCCATGAATTCTTTGTAGGCTATTTTGGGTGATCCTCTGGGATAATAAAAAGCATTATTTATGTTAATTCTGACCGAAAGAACCACGGAGTCGCTGAGGTTGGTGGAGACCTCCACGATCATCGCGTTCAACACCTTGTTCGGGGTGGAGGTGAGCACAGTGGCTCTGAGGCTCAGGAAAAGCCGGGAAGCTGGTGGATGGGGCAGAAGGGGCTCCAGGTCGGTTTTCGCTTCCCAGGAGATCCGGCAGGAGAATCCCCCCGGCATCCTCCTCCCGCGCCGCCCACCCTTCCCTCCCGAAGGCGGGGCGATGGCGCCGTTCCGGGGCGGGCCGGGCCGTGCCGTGCCGTTCCGGGGCAGCACCGGGGCACGATGGCGGCCACCAAGCGGGTGCTGTACGTGGGTGAGTGGCGGGGCCGGGGGCGCCCCACGCGGGGCCGGCGGGGCACCGGGGCTGCCCGGTGACCGCTGCCCGCCCCGCAGGCGGGCTGGCCGAGGAGGTGGACGAGAAGGTGCTGCACGCCGCCTTCATCCCCTTCGGAGACATCACCGACATCCAGATCCCGCTGGACTACGAGACGGGTGCGTGCCGGGAGGGCTGGGCACAGCGGGGCATCCCCGGCGGGCGGGATGGGATGGGATGGGATGGGATGGGATGGGATGGGATGGGACCCCCATCGCTCCGAGGGACCGGCGTGTCTTGTGCTCCCCGTGACCCCTTCGCTTCTCTCCCTCCAGAAAAGCACCGGGGATTCGCCTTCGTGGAGTTTGAGCTGGCGGAGGTGAGGAAGGGGCAAATGCTGGGGCTGCTCGGGGCTTTTCCTCCACTGGATCCTCTTCACGTTGGAGGCAGCTCCATGGAAGCGGGTGGGGATAATACTTACCACAGCATTGAATCACTCTCCGGCAGTGGGAGATGTTGTTCTGCTCTTACAAGCTCCTGGTTTTCCAAGCTCCCGCTTTTCCCATTTTTTTTTTCTGGGCTGAAGCACAGCTGCTGCTGGCCTGAACTTCTCCCTGCCATCGTCCCTGGGTGGGACATGTATTTGTCCTCTTATGGACTGTCCTGGGTTTCATGCACAGATCCTCCCCAAAGTGCTGGTGTCAGCAGTAAAGCATCTTAAATAAAATGGATTTACTAGGTTGTTGGACAGTGAGACCCAGATCCTGGTTTGGATACGGCTCTTGAAAGATCCATCAGCCCTGGGGTAGATGAGGTTTAGGAAAATCTGGCTGCCTTTTCTGTAATGATGTGCTGGGGCATGCCTGTGCTTAGCCTTGCTTTTAAAGGCAGAGAAGAAAAAGGGTAATAATTATTGTATTTTGATTTCTTGGCAGGATGCAGCGGCAGCAATTGACAACATGGTATGGACCCTGTTCCACTCACCCACAGAGACCTGTGGCTTTGCTGCCCTGTGGGCTGCAGGGAGAACACAAGCTCTGTCCTCCTCTGACCTCTGCAGGGATTTTGGGGGGCACGGTGATTTTATACCTTTGGGTGGGCTTTGTTGTGGTTTTTTTTTCCCCTCTACAGAATGAGTCTGAGCTCTTTGGCAGGACCATCCGTGTGAACTTGGCCAAACCCATGAGAATTAAAGAAGGCTCATCCAGGCCTGGTGAGTTGGTGCCTGGGAGGGAAAGAACATCTCTGTGGATGTTCAGAGCTCTGTGCATAAGCTCAGGTGTGGCCCTTCGGATCAGTTCCTGTGCTCTGACTTTTCCTTTTGCTGTCACAGTCTGGTCAGATGACGAGTGGCTGAAGAAGTTTTCAGGGAAGACTTTGGAGGAGAACAAAGAGGAAGGAGGAACAGAGGCCCCCAAACCAGAGGCACAAGAGGTAGGAGAAACAATCCAAGCCATCTGTATCCCCACTGTCCCAAGGGCTGAGGGTGTGAGAGTGGCCATTCCTGGAGGCACAGCAGAGGAACGTCATCAAAACTTGGCTTTCGTTTCTTTTCCTGCCCAGGACGAGCCTCCCGCCAAGAAATCCCGGGTCAACCCTCAGGTTTACATGGACATCAAGATTGGGAACAAACCCGCGGGGCGGCTGCGGATCCTCCTGCGCTCGGATGTGGTGCCCATGACCGCAGGTGGGGGAGAAGTTTTCGGCCTCCCTGCCGTGGTGGCTTCCAGGAACGTCACAGCTCTCACCTCTCCCCTTTTACAGAGAATTTCCGCTGCCTCTGCACCCACGAGAAAGGATTTGGCTTCAAAGGGAGCAGCTTCCACCGCGTCATCCCCCAGTTCATGTGCCAGGCCGGCGATTTCACCAACCACAACGGCACCGGCGGCAAATCCATCTACGGCAAGAAGTTTGATGATGAAAACTTCATTCTCAAACACACGGGGCCAGGTAGAGCTCATCTCCAGGCAGGAACTGGAGAGAAAATTTTTTTAGTATCATCTAGGGGCCACATTTGGGCTATTTTGGCCTGTACCACGTTGATAGTACTGGCCCTGAATTATAATCTGTGTTGGCCAGATGCGTCTGCCGCGGTGTGATCTGCCCTGGTCAGCCCCTTGTGTGCCACCAAGCAGAAATGCCTCTTTCCCTCTCCAACCATTTCCACTATTACATAATGAAAAAACAATTTCAGAGCTGCTTTTCTGTTCCATTTTAAAGGAGGAATGTCACAGTGTGACTATGAAAAGCGGGAACAAGCAAGCAGGTTTATCTCCCTACAAACATCTTTGCTGTTACTGCAGCTAAAAATAGCTGAGCAGCTTCTCCTGCTTTCTGTCTTTCATGTTTGCAAGTGTTTCTCAACATAATTGGTTTCCAGTAGTTTCTGTGGATTCTGATATTCAGAAGCTCTCCTAAATCCAGGAGCATTTTGCAGGACATGGAAATGGGTCTGGGTTAGAGAAGCAGCTCACGTGCTGGAGTCCATTGCTCCCTTCTCAGCCATAACACTGCACTCTTTGATCCCAGGGATGGTGTCAATGGCAAACTCTGGCCCAAACACCAATGGCTCCCAGTTCTTCATCACCTGTGATAAAACAGACTGGCTGGACGGAAAACACGTGGTGTTTGGGGAGGTGACGGAAGGCATGGACGTGGTGCGGGAGATCGAGGTAGGTGCTGGTCAGCAGGGTGGTCCAGGCAGAGCTGATCCTCTTCCTGCCCTAGAGATTGGTTCCCTTAACTCCTGCTGCTCTTTTCTCCAAGGCTCAGGGCACCAAAGATGGGAAGACGAAGCAGAAGGTGATCATCTCGGACTGCGGGGAGTGCCCGTGAGCTCAGCTGGATGGGGGGAGCCTGGCCAGGAGGGACAACCGGAATGGGGCACCCCAGAGAGTCCCCAGCAGCACCCAGTCCTGTGGCCTCTACTGAAATTCCCCTGCAAAGCTCGGAGTGAAGATGCCTGTGGGCAGTGCTGAGGGGTCCAACCTTCCCTGCGCTGCCCGAGCAGGGCAGGGCTGGTCCTGCTGCTGTGTTCCAGAAAGACTTTATGTTTGGGAAAAATAAAAACTAGTTTTAAAAATACCGAGGACCTGTCTTTCAAACTGTCCCTTGTGCGAAGCTGGTCTTTGAGCAAAAATGCTTTTTTTATTTTTTTATTTTTTATTTTATTTTTTTTAATTTTATTTTTTTATTTTATTTTTTTTTATTTTTTTTCCCTTGTCTGTATTAATCCTGTGCCTGAATCCTGGCTCCAGGGGAAGCTCCCTGTGCCAGGGGAAGAGCTGAGCTGAATCTCTCATGCTTATTCCACAGCAGGATCTCGTGGAGGTGTTTCTGGCATATCCCTGGCTTTGTAGTGTCCTTTTCCATCAGCAGAGGGAAGCAGGTCCCTGGCTGGCAGCCTTCCTGCTGGGAAGCCAGCCTGGTCCAGCCCCATCCCAATCCCAGAGGGAAGGTGTTTACTGGGATGGATAAGAGGGAAAACATGGTCAGGACAAGAAACACCATGAAATGAAGGAACCCTTTGGGTGATGAACACCCCAAAGTGATGAGGCTGTAGGAAGGGGTTTAATTTCCAAACTCCAGTTTGAAGAGCGGGATAATCACGTGGATTTATAGTTCCTGCGGTGGGTAGCTCTGGCTGTGCACCAAAGAGGTGACCACAACGGTGGGAAGTGATGGATTTGGGGTTTCCTGTGAAATTATGGCACTGGGGAGGAAGGGATGTGTGGGTTTGAGCATGTTCAGGTGTTGGCAGGAGGGATGAGGCTGCTGGGACAGAGAGGAGGGTCAGGTGCGTGGGGATGGGTTGTGGGGATCTTTTGAGGACCTTGTGTCATTGGGGATTTTTGGGTTTGCCAGGTCGGGGGTGTTGCTTTTCCATAAGAAACACTGGGTTGCTTTTATTCACTTACTGGCTTTCCACAGTGTTTGGGGGTTGTGCATTGCCCTAAAACTGCAACAAGGTGAGACTCAGGCACTCAGCCTTGATTCCAGACAAACAGATGGACCAGCCCAGCTTTTCCCTTCCTTGCTCCCTTCTTTTTGATGTTTAAATCTCAAATTTTTGAAGACGGCCCTTGCAGGCACCTTCAGAGGGACCTGAACCAGGGAGAGAGAGCTCAGAGTGATGGAAGCCCTGGGTGTTCTCTCTGCAGAAGGCACCAGGTCAGACAGAGCCATGACCATCACATCCTGAGCTGGATTTCATGTGGGATTAGATACCTAAAGAAGCAACACCTTTGCTTGGGAAAGCTGGGCATTGACGAGGAGCAGATCTGTCTTATTTTGGTGGGTTTATTGGGATTTTTTTCCTGGTTCATTATTTGTTTAGTGACGTAAGGTTCCCCCAGGTATCTGAGCTGAGAACCAGGACAGGCCTTTTCCTTTTAAAATCAGAGCAAATAAATAATTTAATTGTACAAATAGCCCAGGGAAGCTGCCTGGGGCAGTCACAGCCCTTTTAGGAGCCCACGGGAAAGATCCACCGGTGAGCACAGCCTGACCTAAAACTCACATCAGGGCTCATTTTCAAGCAAATAGGTACAATTTTAGCCGATTCTGAGTATTTTTTCATTGCGAAATGTCCTCCAAACAGAGCACTCTTGTGCTGTGACATTAAAAAACAAAGAGCAAGAGAAACTCCGTGTTTACTTTCTAAACTAGGTGTTTATTTTATAACAGTGCCGTAGCTCAATATGGATATTTTATTTTTTTTCCAAGTGGCTGAGTTTGGTGAACTTTAGGTAAACAGGAGCGGGTTAGTCAGCCAGCTACTTAATTGGCTGATGATATTTTCATTAAGGGAATTAAAAGCACTGGGTAGAGGTGGGTTAGTTAGAAATACACAGCTAGGAACAGCTCAATCCCAGAGCAACTCAGATGTTGCCTCCCTTGTCCTAATTACCCTTAAGCCCAAACTGCTTCCACCAGAGACTGCAGCAGCATGAGGGGAAAACACATCAGCCACAGACAAACCAGACACAGAACAAGCCACAAATCCTCTCTTCCCTATATATATATATATATGTTTGTGCATATCTATGTGTCTCATTAAGCGGGGTAAGAGAATAGAATTTTATATTATTTACATCCACTTCTAGGAAGGGGTGGGAGGGATTTGTTTTTATTATTTATTACTCTTAATGGACTTTGCTCTGATGCAGCCCATGAAACTCCTCTTCCACACATCCAGCAGAAACCCAGTGTCACATTGCTCTGGTGGGGAGGGGGTGGGACTTTCAGGGATGGAGATGGAGTGGGATGTTCGAGGATGGGGATGGGATGCTCGGGGATGGGGATGGGACCTGTCCATCAGTGGCAGCCACATGATTTCACCACCATGTTGCGATGCTTCTTGAGGATGACGTTGTTGTTGCTGTCGTAGTAGAGGACAGAGGTGGCACTGAGCTTGGTGGGGGCACAGCACGCCTTGGGCACGGCCTCAGGCTTCATCAGGTGGACCTGGGGGAGGGATGCAGCAAACGTGGCTCCAGGCAAAAGAAAAAGCATCAAACCGACTCATAGCTGCAGAAATCCTGGGTGAATGGGGAGATTATTCCCAGCTTTTTGCAAAAATATTTATCCTAAACTCCAGGCAGTCCCTGCCGCAGTTTATGTTGGAGCGGGGCTCAAGGCACTGCGTGGGCAGGGCAGCCCCTTCATTAATTTAGGATTTCAGGGCCCTTTTTCCTCACAAAAATAGACAAATGACTAAAAAAAGAATATAAATCAGGGCAGAGGTGGTCAGACCCCGGTGTGGGCGGAGGGTGCTGCAACAGAGATCCTCCACCCCGAATTAAACGTCTTCCACCAAAATCTTAAATACACAACACCTCTCTGAACACGACTCCCTTTCAGCTCGTTCAGCCCCTGCTCAGGACATGCTTTATCCCAGGATTTTACTGCATGGCACCAGCTGGAGGCTCCCAGGCCGCCGGACACGCGGAGCCCTCGCTGGCTTCACCCGACATGTGCGATTAATTTACGGCAGGGGCAGCCCAGCTCTCCCAGCTCGGAAGTCCGGTGTTTTTGCTGTCAAACCCTGCTATTTGCAGCACAGGCTGTGGGGCTGGCACAGCTCCACGGCCGCCTTTGCCCCGGCGCTTCCCAGAAGGGCCGGATCCGGGCGCCAGGTGATTCACATCCTGCCCAAACGGCTCCGTTTTGGGAAGAGCGTTGGGTTTAGGGGCGATGGGTGGGTGTAGACGGGGAAGGGGGGGCCCCTCCTCGCCACTACCAGGATCCTTCCCAGCCCCAGATGGGCCCTGGAAGCTTCGTTAATGTCAAAATTAAACCCCGCCAGGCGACACCTTCAAAGGCTCGGCCGAGGGCTCGGCGCTCCCTGTAATTAACCGCGAGCACCGGAGCCGGTGTGGCTCTGCCATTGGGAAACCAAACACTCACAGGGCAGGAAATTCCAGAAATTAAAGCACTGGCTGGGATGCGGGGTGGGTTTGGGAAAAGAGGGACACTAAAGCTTTGCTGCTTGGAATATGCTGAGCCCAACGTTTGGGTGCCGAGCCGCAGCGGTGCTTTCCAGGGCTGTGGATAAACCCTCGGGCACGGCTGACACGGAGCCTTTCCAGGGAGGAGTGGGGGCCTTGGGGAGCCCTGGTGAGCCTTGGAGTCCCTGCTCCAGAGCCCACTGCCAGGGGAAGGGGCAATCAGTCCATCAGAAATCATCTGTTTTGTCCCAGCTGTTGTTAAACTGGAGCAGGATCGTGTCAGTCAGAAAATCAGGAGATGATCTGGAATTGCAAAATCCCCCCGTGACACCCTTCTGGCTCAGGCTGATGGGCAGAGCTGGTGACCTGTGTGCCCTCTCACTTGTTTCTCCAGGAATGCCATGAAATGCCATTATCATATCCATATCCTGTGATCCTGTGGTGGGGACCAGCCTGCGAGCACCCATCCAGATGTGCGAGTACCCATCCAGATGTGCAAATATCCATCCAGATGTGCGAGTACCCATCCAGATGTGCAAATATCCATCCAGATGTGCAAGTACCCATCCAGATGTGCAAGTACCCATCCAGATGTGCATGTACTTACTAATAATTTATTCGGACCAGCAGCTGAACTGCTCTAACCCAAACACCCTCAAACCCAGCCATGCTCATCCCAAACCCCAGTCCTCCATCAGGACCCACCGGGCCCCTACTGCTCCCCAGGACCCTCAGTGTCCCCCCTGGGCTGTCCTTTTGGGTGGCACTGACCAGGGACTGCAGGATGGCGTGGTTGGTGGCGTTCATGCAGGAGTCCAGGGGGAAGGCACACTCCCCCTCGCAGTAATAGGCTGAGTATCCCTGTGGAGCGATCACCCAGTCCTGCAAAATAAAAGGGATTACATTGATGGCTTCACCTTCCTGCGCCCCTTCCTCCACTCCCCACCTGCACAGACAACTCCACCACCTCCTCCCCGGGGTGGCTGTGCCAGCAGCAAGGGTTTATTTTGATTTCTCAGACTGAGCCACGAGTTGCTCAGGGTCAGCAAAGGGGTTTGGGGTTGTGGCAGTTCACGTTTGCCTTCCCAGCTCCCGGGACGGCTCCACGGGCAGGGGATTCTGTGATGGGAGGGAGCCCAGGGCAGGGGAATGGGATGACGAAGTCTGGTTTTCCTTCTGCATTTACTTCTCCCAGTGGACAAGTACCAGCCAGCCGAGGTCCTGGAAGCTGACGTAGAGCTCGTGGCGCCGGCAGACCTGCCTCCCGTCCGTGGTGTGGACATCATCTATGGGAGAAGGGGACAGGGAACATCAGCCCTGGCACCCCCCATTCCACCATCCCCTGCAGCCAACCCCTCTCAAGGGAGGGATACAGCCCAAATGATAGGGGTTAGTGCAGGAGAACCGAAGGAGAGGAGCCTCTGCCCTTGCACGAAGGGAAAAGGAGCTTCAGATCGGTCGATAATTTGATATTCCGACATTGGGACGAAGGAATTTAGCCTTGGAAGGGCTATATCCCAGCTTTGCTCACAGAGGTGACAACTTGGAGGGTTTTCCAAACTCAGTGGGTGCAGGAGAGCTGGAGGTTCCC